ATACTTCTCATTGGAAACAACACAAAATTACTAGAGTCCGTAAAGGGCTGGTTGGGAAAGTGTTTTTCAATGAAGGACTTAGGAGAGGCACAGTACATATTAGGCAACAATATCTACAGAGATAGATCTAAAAGGATGATTGGATTAAGCCAGAGTACTTACATTGATAAGGTACTGGCTCGATTCAACATGGAGAATGCCAAGAGAGGGCATTTACCCATGTCCCATGGCATAACTCTCAGCAAGAAACAGTGTCCACAGACACCTGTTGAGCGAGAAAGAATGAATCAGATCCCATATGCTTCGCTGATCGGATCGATCATGTATGCCATGATATGTATAAGGCCAGATGTATCGTATGCCCTGAGTGCAACGAGCCGATACCAATCGAACCAAGGAGAGGCGCATTGGACTGCGCCCAAGAATATCCTAAAGTACCTGAAAAGGAACAAGGATAAATTCCTGGTGTATGGAGGCCATAAAGAAATGGTTGTTGAAGGTTACACCGACGCTAGCTTCCAAACTGACAGAGACGATTTAAAGTCACAGTCAGGGTACATATTCTGTCTGAATGGAGGAGCGTTCAGCTGGAAGAGTGCCAAGCAGAGCACCACTGCAGACTCTACATCTGAAGCCGAGTACTTGGCCGCTTCAGAAGCTGCCAAGGAAGCTGTTTGGATTCGCAAGTTCATCAACGAACTTGGTGTTGTACCCTCAATCAAGGGGTCGATAGACCTTTATTGTGATAAAAATGGAGCTATCGCTCAGGCCAGGGAGCCGAGAGAACACCAGAAGGTCAAACACGTGCAAAGGCGATTTCACATGATAAGGGAATGGAAATCCAAAGGTGAAATCAGAATTTGTAAGATTGGCACAGATGATAATGTGGCCGATCCTTTGACTAAACCGCTGCCTCAGGTGAAACACAACGAGCACATTGAGGAGATGTGAATCAAGCATGTTGGAAACTGGCTTTGAAATTCCCTGTACATGTGTTTTAATTAAATAGGATGTTTAATGTAACCATTCATTTATGGAGTTATTAATTTTGTGCAAAACTATCATTCACTCCATTACTATTTAATTGTGGTTTAGAATTAAATAATGGGTCCATTCGATTTACGAAAATATTCAAAACAGGGTATCAAGACCATGTCTTGGATAAAGAAAAACCTGTTAAGTGAACATTGAATATTTAAATCGAAAATTGTCCCTAATCGAGGTCATCTAACGGATGGACGATTGATGACCGCCATAGATTAGTGTGTAGTATGATTTACAGCACCGTTTCTTGTGCTGCGAGGACGTGACAGTCATAAATCATTTGCACAGGTACAGTTTGGAACTGTACTGGATAAGACCTATGAGAGTACTTTAAGAAATTTCAAAATTGTCATAAGTACATTTCTCATTATAACTATCGGAACCTGTTTCCTCCGACCATGAGTATTGTGAAGTTTTCTAGTTTGAGTACTAGACTCTTTGATGTTTCCTAACGTCTGCCGTAACTGGGGATCATAACAAGAACACTCGGGAGACTAAGTCCTCTTAGTAAGAGGAACTTACAATGCAAGACTGGGATTGTCCCCCTATTAAAAATAGGGAAAATGTTTTGTTGTTTACAAGGCCGCTCGAAGAGCGAGACTGTGAAAATGCATGGCCGTGCTCAGATGGATTTTAGAAATCATCTGCTTATTGACAGTCAAACTCGGAGATCGAGAAACACTTCTGAACGTAATAAGGATGATGATGAATCTTATCTTATAGTTCACGAAGAAACATTAAGAGACATAGGAAATGGGCTATACACTGTATGCACACTTGTCCGGAAGGACAAGTGGGAGATTGAAAGGAATGATGTCCTTCCAACAAGTGTATTCTTCCGATAGAGGGTTCAGAATTATTACAGAGTTAATTCTTCAGTAAGATCAAGTGATCGGAATGACTAGGTGGAGGCCGCTTCCGATCAGTAATATCAAGGTACAATTGATATTACAGCTTAATCTTAACTGAACCCTTCGGGTCGAACCCAATCGAATCACCGATCCGAGACAACGAATTAATCGGAAAGGATTTAATGAGTCGACAGAGTTTTACGAATACAGACGTCGGATATCGAGCCTAAGGCGTCGAGGCCGAGTGTCGTAAAATCACAAGCGACAAGTACGAGCGTAGCCGTAGCACCACAATGGTCTAACCATGTGGATGCTAGGCTAGTTCGAGCTAGCATGCACCTAGCATGGCTAGGCGCAAGCCTAAGCACACTAGGTGTGCTAGGCACACCATCGCAGCCTAGGCACACCATCGCAGCCTAGTTGCACCATCGCAGCCTAGGCGCACTATCGCAACCCTAGCATCATGCCTAGGCGCTATCGCAGCCCTAGCATGATGCCTAGGCACCATCGCTGACCATTGCAAACACTAAGCGCACCAGGGGCACCAGGCAGCCCATCGCAGCGCATCAACGTGCTTGCCTGGGTGCGCATAGCAGGGCCACACACGCACCAAGCACAACCATCGCAGTGCTAGGCACTGGCGTATGTGCATGTGCGTGTGCGTGCCTCACACCAAGCACAACCATAGCAGTGCTAGGCACTGGCGTGTGCTAGTGCGAGGATGCCTAGCAGCATCGCCCAACACGCATGCTAGGCCCTTGCGTGCGTAGGCTCGTTGGCTGGGCTAGCAAGGTGTGCGAGGCATGTGCGTGTGCGAGAGGTGCAGCGAGGGATGCGAGTGTATGTGCAAGGCATGTGCGTGTGCGAGAGGTGCAGCGAGGGATGCGAGTTTGTGGTCGAGAAAATGTGTGGGAGTGCTAGGCCAGCGCCAGCACGCTAGCACAGCCCAGCACTAGCACGCAGCAGCGCCAAGCATCGCCCAACACAGCACGCACTGCCTGGCTGGGGATGCAAGGCTGCTGGCTGGTGCTAGCTGGCAGCGCTAGCTGGCAGCCAGCCAGCCCTCCTTGAGCCGGTTTTGTGCTTGCTTGTGGGGACCAATCAAGGGCCTTGGGGAGCAAGGCAAATGGTCCCCCCACCTAGCCTTGGCCATCACTCCTTTGCACATGGTCATGCCACTTGTCGCAATATGATTTAGTTGATTATTTATTTAATTTGGAAATTAAATAAATCATTGATTTTTCAACTCTCCCACATTGGTGGGAGATTGAAAACCAAGGATCCATTTCCTTATAAATACCCTTCAAGGGTGTTGGAAATGGACAACCTTGAGTGGAATTAAAAAGGCAACTCTTGTATTTAGAGTAAACCTTTGATTCGTAAAACTCATAGTTTTGTTTGTCCGGGTCTTGACTAACCTTCAAGACTTGGGACGCTCGAGTTTGGTCGAGGGTACGATCCGTCGGAGATCTCGTAGTTTCGGGATTTTGAAGTAAGAGCTCTTCGGGAGCGAAGCACGCAACAAAGGTATAATTCTTGTTCTTAGTCTTGCTTGATTAAGTTTATTATGCTTGTTAATTGCTTTAATTAAGGGGCGGGTCTTGGGGGGTTTCCTTCCGCGTAGTATCGGGTCACTACGAAACCCTACAGAATTCCGTCGGAAGATTAATTTCCGACGGAATTTCGACTGATTCTGACGGATTATTTCCGTCGGAATCAAGCTGTTTTCTAGTAGTGTAAGTCCTCTGTTAAACCTTGACTGAGCTTGATTCCCTGTTTCCGACCAAACCTTATAACACTTGCAGCCGAGGAATCGGTGCTGAATTGGTGTTGACTCGGAGTTGAATCGGCCAGAAGCAACGTTGGTTGTGCGTTTCAGGTACGTTGTAAATGTCGTTTCAATTGATTTAGAATTCATGCATTTTTATTTGGATTGGCTGATATACGTGGTGAATTGGTTTCAAATTTACGCAATTTTCATCAACATTGGCATAATCTGGTGGTACAGAACATTTGTATCAGGGCGGAAGCGGTTCTTCATAACAACTATGTCCTGGTTCTGCAGAAATATCGAGGCAAAATAATACCAAGAACACAACATAGGGCAAAATCAAGAGCAACTACTGACATGTAGTTGCAGATTAAGGACAAAGAAGCAAAGCTTCAACTGTTTTTGCAGGATTGAAGAACATCAAAAATGGTGAAGAAGTAGCCTTCGGTTGAGAACTAAAAGAGGAAGAGAAAGACCGGTAGTGCAGCCACTACAGAAAATATCGCGCAAAAACGTCTTCTGTAAACGGAAAATTCCTATTACTTTTGTAAATTTATTTTTTAAACGATTTGTTAGAAAGCAAACGTGGAATTATTCATTGTTCGCTTATTTACAACAATGCTACGGAGATAAACATTTTTGTTTCTCTTCGAGAGTAACCTGGGCAACCCCTTTAAAAACATGAGCACAGTTTGGAAAAGGAAAAATATACTTTAATAATCCCAACTATGAACGATTTACTTTTAATAATCCCAACTAAGGTTATCTAATAATCCCAACTATAGGGTCAGTTTGACTCCAATGATCCCAATGACTAGTGACCTACTAAAAGAGTTTTTTCTTTTTTTGTTTTAATCGTCATGTGTTAATGGTCCAAAACTAAAAATTAAAATAAACATATATTACACATAAAAAATTAAATATAAAAAAATAAAAATAAAACCGAAATTCCAGCCACCCTAACCTCAGCCCCCAACCCTTCCGAAAACTGGTCAACCAACCCCCCCTTAACAACCGAAAACAGCCAACGACCTCTACCACCCATCCCCGACCCTTGAAACCACACAACAACCACCAGTTCAGCCTCGTAGTTACAAGGCAACCACTGCGCACCAGCCATGTACCACCACACCGCATCTCACAAAAAACCCTACAACCCATCTCAAAACACCGACAACAGCGCTTCCAACAACCACCATATCTCCCTCATCATCTCGCGCACCAGATCAGCAACACCGTATGTTGCCGCCATGGCATTTCTATCGTCCGTTTTCTCCACCAACTGTGCCATTGGTCTGCTAATTGACGTACTGCGGCCGGCCGTTGTGTTGGTTTTGGGGGTTGGGAAGGATCGGTCGGCCGTTTTAGGGGTTTATAAGGGGCGCCCGGCTGGTTTCAGGTGGGGTTAGCCGGTTAGGGGTGGGGCTAAGGGTTTTACGGTGGGGGAAGGGGGGAGAGAGGAGTGGCTGGGGTTTTTGGGTTTTTTGTTTTTAATTTTTTTTTTCTTTTTTTAATTTTAGACTAATCACGTGCTGACATTTGTTATGGTTACCTATTATAACAGGTCGTTGACTCGTTTTTGATCGGTGAGGACTGTTGGAGGCAAACTCATAGCATAGTTGAGATAATTAAATAATAAACTTTAGTTTGGAAAATCGCCACAAGTCACACAATGTAGAAAACCCAAAAAGCAATAAAAAAAAAATTGAAAAAAAAGAAGTTAAATTGTACGAGTATACCCTTCTCTTTGTTCTCGTAACTTGACTATTTTTCAGCGTGCAGAGAACAACCTCTGTAGTCCCAATTCTCGGAGCTCCACCATGTGGAGAACCTCCCTTTCTCTCTCTTCCAAGAGACTACTTTCTCTCTCATCAAATCTAAACCCTAATCCTATTTCTTCTCTGCAAAAACGTTCTCCATCTTTTGACTCTAGTTATGGCGGATTGAGCTCTTTCTCTCATCTCTACTCCTCCACAATCCCTAATGAATCCAATAAAATCGGATTAGGGCTTAATCAATTAGGGATTGCTGCTACTGCTACTACTACTGCTTCTGTCGATGCTTCGTCTTCGCTTTCTCGCGATCTTGTTGGTGTTGTTTCTCATTATGGTCGCTGTTATTGGGAGCTTTCTAAAGCTAAATTAAGGTATATTTCAATTTTGCTTTAATTTTTTCACTTTTAGCCTGATTTTGGATCATAATTGTTTTTTTTTTTCTCATTAAAATTGTTTGTTAATTTGGGGATGATGCAATTTATGATGATACTAGATTATTCACTTGCATTTGGGGCTGTTTTGTTTATGAATTGAATGTGGAAAGGTCAAATATTGTGCTTCGATTAAGAATTTGCAATAGAATTGGATCATTGTAGCTATAGGATGCGTGTTGAGATCTTCAGTTTGCCGTTGAAGGGAGTTGTCGGCTATTCCGGCGGGATTAAAAGGTGTTGAATTATAATTGGGAGGATCTGTATTGCTGTAGATTTGTAGTCAAACAATGGAAGCTAGGGCATGATTGTTATGTTGCATATTTTGCTATCATATGACAATTCGAATTAAAGTTTGAACTTGCAGACCTATAGTACTATATGACTGAGGGTTAATGAAAGCTTGCGTCTGTGAAAAGTATTGAGGCTAAAATTAATGAGATGTATCGGTACTTGACTCCTTATTTGGTGTTATAGGAGACAGAGGCATAAACTAGTGCGTAAGGTAAGGTTCAATGCCTATCAGAAAAAATAAAATGGAAAGTTTGCAGCACTTCTGATGAGCTAAAAGATTGAAGATATTTTAGGTTGTCGAAGCAAATTTACATGTGGTATGGTTTAGAGGTAATTTGTCAACTTTGTTTAGTGTAATACATGGAGTAGGATAAACATGCTTTGCTTGGTTTTCTCATGCTCCTTATATGTAGTGATGCCCAGATACATAGCTAGTTAGAACTTAAGAAGGTGGGTGATTAGAGGTTAACATCGCAAAATATGGTTAAGTCGTTAAGTTGAAGTCTATTGCTGTATGTCTTGTTTGAAAATCCGTATAGTAGTAGTTATATAAGTTAAGGATGCTGGCAAAACTTTTGATCAGTGTCTTGATTCAGATAAAAGTGAGGAGAAGGGTATAGGATCTTCCGATTTAAAATTGATTCTGCTATTAATATCTAATGAATATCATACTTTCTGTTTTCTTCTTTATTTATGAAAGATGATTGTCTGACTCCTTTATTTATTTATTTGTATATTCATTTATATCATTCTGATTATGTGTATAAATCTCAGCATGCTGGTGGTTGCAACTTCTGGAACTGGATATGTTCTTGGCAGTGGCCAGGTCATTGATCTTGCTGGCCTTTGTTATACTTGTGCTGGGACAATGATGGTTGCAGCATCTGCTAACTCTTTAAATCAGGTTAGCTGTTAGATTTTCCTTCCACATGATGCCATTTCCCTAAACGTTTGGCTGCTAAATGATAAAAGCACAATTGTTATTTTATTTCATATTATTACATCATTGCTCTGCTCCCAGTTTTATACTTTTACCCTCCCATCCTTGATGCCCTATTCAGTACCCTAACATTCCACTTAATAAATCTCTCCCACTAATTAAGGTTTTGGCTGAACATAAACTTTTCCATACATACCCATGTGTATAAAAAGTGTGCCAAGGTGCAAGACAACATGGGCTATTTTTTGGCCCAGGCATGACAATTTTTCTGAGGTGCACCAGAGGCACGCCTAGGCACACATCTTTAATTTTATTTTTTTCCTGCATCGTTAAAAACTTAAAACTAAATTAAATGCACCTTACTAGAGATATTTAACCAATTTGTCAACCCACATAAATTGATGTGCATATAATTTATTGATATTTTTCATACCCACAAATATACAATGAAATTAGGGGTTTCTTAGTTAATTAAACTTGAATGGATTGCGCACACAGTGAAGGTATGGATTCAAATGCCCATATCTGTCTGAAGTTGTTTGGTGTAATCCTACAATGGACTGGACTATGTAACATTCAACCATGACAGATGTAATTTTTTCATAATAAATCCAAAAATGGTAGAATCTGTATACACTTCGTATAAGGAAAAAATAAATAAAATTTGAATGTCATACATGCAAAATAACAAGGAAAAAAAAGTTAAAAACAATTAAAAAATTACCATAAAAAATAATAAATTTTACACCCCAACTTTAACTAATATCAATTCACCCACCCCCTCCAAAATAAGAAAATTTCCATTGCATCAATGAAATATTCTATCTTATCTACCCAACAATTTGGGAAAAAAAAGTCAGTCACATTGTCAAAGAAGAAGAAAGGTGGTCTGCCCAGTGATGGTGGTTGGACCTAAGTTGGTAAGGAGCTGTTACTCTTGCTGCTGTTGCTTTTTTGTCATCTTTGATATAAGTTAGGGCTTGTATCAGGGGTGGAATGAATTCTGAATCTTAGGTGATGAGGTGGGTATGAGATTTTAGGGGAATAGGGTGGAGTTAGAGCCCTATTAATATGAGGTTCCATAGTAAAAAAAAAACAAAAAACCGACCAAATAATTTATAAGATGGAATATATTCTAACTCTATTGCAACCCATTACAAAGGTCTAACCAAACAGAATCAAAATTTCATAACTTTTGTAGATAAATTTTTTTTTGTCCTTTACTAGGAAGAAGAAATTCTTATGTTGAGCTCTCATAGACTTCATACTTCTGGTCTTCTAGCTTAGTAGCCCATTATGACTTTCTCAAAAAAGGCTTTGTTCTCCTTCATTCCTCATCTTTATTACTCCCGCTGTTTTTTTTTTTTTTTTTTTTTTTTCCTTGCAATTTTGTAACTGATATATCTCAAGTTATATATTACAAATAATTATAAAAATTACATATTTGGAAATTAAAAGTTGAGACGAATCTAACAAGATCCCACATGATTATTCTTTGAATAATAGAAAAGACATTAAAGTTTATGATTCTATTTGCATTAAAACCTCCCAAGATTCCAAATGGGACAAACAAAAGATACGAAGGGAGTAAAAAGTTTTAAAATAAATGTAAGAGCTTCTAAGCAAAATTTAGTTGATTAAAAACATGTCAAGTTTGAAAAAAAAAATAATAAAAAAAAAAAACGTTGTCCAGCCAAAAATGAGTCTAGCTAAGCAAATTTTTAGTAGAATTAAATAAGTTTTACAAAATATAATAAATATTCAGCAAAGTTAAGTTGAGAAGAACAAAGTCTAATCTAAGCTAATTTTAAAGCAAATTTAGTAAAAATTGGGAAGTGTATTCCAAGAGAGATTTTACGCATATTTCCATGTATGATTGACTTAAAATTAGGATAATCTGCGTGAGTTTTGGCATCAAAAGGCTGTTAGACTTATATGCTATAAAAACAGTAAAAACTTATCTCAACGGGATGCGAACCAAATGATAGTAGCCGCGTCGTGGATAACCACTGACCTAAAAGACGATTCCGCGTTACCTTCCGGTGTAGTAGACGCAAAGCGGTCGCCCTAGAGGTGATCATTGAGCGGGCCGGGCCAAGGTCCCAAAATTCAGTCCGTTTCTCGGATCGAGCCGACGGGCCATACTTCGGGCCGAAAAGTTTATGCCCAAACCCGCCCAAAATGACCGGGCCAAGCAGGCTTTTCGGGCCAAGCCAAAAAACAACTAAATTTGCATAAAAATGATTTCCCAAGTCCGCCCAAAGTTTTTGAAAAATCGGGTCGGGCTGGAAAATTCTGCCTAAAACCCACCCAAAATTGGGCGGGTTGGCCGGGCCACATTTGATCAGCTTTAGGTCGCCCTCTAGGATAAGCACGGCGCAAGGTGTGCACTCACAAACCCGACTGGAACCCAGAAGTGTTTAGAAGTTTAGAGAGTAGAGAGTATATGTCAAAAGAAAGTGTCTAGGTTCGTTTAGCCAAGCAACCAGATACGTTACACCAAAACGGCAAGAAATAAATCTGCCAATTAATTAGCCAAAATCAAGGACTAATTAAACTCCAATAGTCAAAATATAATTGAGAAAATTCTCTTACCAAAGTAAGAAAAAAAGATAGAGAGCCCACCCACGCCTGCCCATTGCATTCCCCAAGACCCCAAGTCCACGAGTCCCGAGTCCCAAGGCCGGCCCCAGCCTGACTAGACTCGGTGCGTGTGTGTGGGGTATAGTCAACAACCCACTTGCCGCTTATTCAACTAAGTAGGACTAAGGTACCACAATATTCAAACAAGGGATAGCACTTTTTTCCTTTCAATGTGGGACATTTACCTTACTTTTATACCACTCTTTTCTTTGTTTTTCATCAAGAATTTCCAACAATCCCCCACAGATTCGAAAATGAGAAAAAAAAAATTAGGAAAAAATGAATTATGGCAAAAACAAGCAATTGCATAAATGCCAATGTCTCGCGACTTGAATTGACACATAGTGAACATCAAGCTATGATCCATTTTCTACCAAGTGACCTTCGTCTTGAACTTAAAAGGGGGTTAGGGACCCGTCACTTGAGTCACACAATTGACCATGTATAATATTCTGAAATTCCGCGTATAAAGTGACACATTATATTGGCGATGCTCATAGGTGCTAAGCCCACGAAATACTCATACGAAGCGGCCACACATCCACACCTAAGTAGGTGAATCCCATCAAGTGTGAGCTACAACACACCTTCGTTAAGAGCCATATGCTCAACCTCTTTCTCATTTGTAGCAAAGCACAAAACAAACATCTTGGGATGGACAAAAATAAAATATTGTGCTTCCGAATTATTATATAATGTTCTCCTTTAAACTCATAATGAGTAGGAGTTTATTACTTTACAATTCATACAACGGGCTTTTGCCCCATCCATTCCGATGTTTCCAACTAGTTTTCTACATAAGCCTTTAGTCAACGGATCCGCAACATACTTTTTGAACATTACATAGTCCACCCGACAGCTTTATGCCTAAGACGAATGTGTCTCTTCTTCCCATTGTAGGCATGGTTGTTTGCAACAGTAATTGCAGCTTGCGAATCACAATGAAGTGCAACTAAAGGAGCTGGCTTCCCCCACAGTGGAATATCAACAAGTATGTTCCTCAGCCATTCTGCCTCATGACCTGCCAGTTCAAGAGCAATAAATTCAGATTCCATAGTAGACATAGCAATACAAGATTGCTTATTAGATTTCCATGATATAGCTCCATCCCCAAGGGTGAAGACATAACCACTATGAGACATCCAGTTGGCATCATAAAAGCCCTCCAAAACTCCTGGAAAGTTGGAGTAATGCAAACCCCAATCCATGGTACCTTTAAGATACCTAAGCAATCTCCTAATCAAATGATCACTATTCGGGTTATGAGTGTACCTACTCAATCTGCTAACAGTAAGCACTAAGCAATGTTAGGTCTAGTATAGTTCATAAGAAACATAACACTACCCATAATCCTAGCATATTCAGACTGATGAACGAGATCACCTTTATTTTTCTTTAGGTGGAAACTGGGTTCATATGGAGTTCTAAGTGGATCGACATTAATTGAGTGCTCTCCCTTGTGTAAATATTGTGGTACCTTAGTCCTACTTAGTTGATTAAGTGGGAAGTGGATAGTAGACTATACCACACACACACGCGCGCCTAGCCGAGTCGGGTCGGGCTTGGCCCCCGGGACTCGTGGACATGGGGTCTTAAGGAATGCGATGCGTGGGCGTGGGCGGGCTGTTGGATGTGGGCCCTCTATCTTTTTGGAGAAATTTTATCTTTTTTTCTTACTTTGGTAACAGCATTTTCTCAATTATATTATTTTGACGGTTATAATGTAATTAGCCCTTGATTCCGGCTAATTAATTGGTAGATTTATTTCTTGCCGTTTTGGTGTAACGTATTTGGTCGCTTGGCTGAACGAACCTAGGCACTTTCTTATGGTATTTTTTACCTGCTTCTTCCCTGCTTTCACTAGTCATAATACACAATTGCATAAACTCTCTTCTCTCTAAACTTTGAAACATTGCTCTTTGATTTCTGGTTAAATATTAAAAGTTCCAGTCCGGTTTGTGAGTGCACACAAACTCCCACGCCGTGTTTATCCCGAGGGCGACCGCTTTGCATCTACTGCATCGGGAGGTAGCGCAGAATCGTCTTTTAGGTTAGTGGTTATCCACGACGTGGCTATTGTCATTTGGTTCGCATCCCATTGAGATAAGTTTTTACTATTTTTATAGTATATAAGTCTAACAATCTAAAAGACGAATATGGCTTCCAAATTCTGATTCCTGATATGTCCAAGTTAGAACCACTTGATGGAAAAAATTATAAACATTGGCTGTTAGGATGCATTTTTATTTGGAACAAATTGATGTTGCTTATGTGCTCGATGAAATCGTTGAACGTGATGATAAGAATGCTTTATCTGATTATGATGTTAAGTTGCTAAGGATGATAGAACCTTTTAAGCATGCTATTGCACTATATGTTGAATAGTATGTTAGATCATCAAGATTGTTAGACTTATATGCTATAAAAACAGCAAAAACTTATCTCAATGGGATGCGGAAATCTTTCAAAGAGGGAGGCAGTTTCTCAATAAGAACAATAGCAAGGGTTATATCACAAATAGACAAACCTTTAGCACCCATATTAATACAAACATTATCATAAGCATGCACCTGATCAATAATAGGTTTATCATCCTGAATTTAAAAACTCAACCACTTATTAACACAATAACGTTTAGTGCAACAACATGCCTTTAAAGGTTCTATCATCCTTAGCAAACTTAACATCAGAGATAAAGCATTCTTATCATCACGTTCAACGATTTCATCAAGCACATAAGCAACATCAATTTGTTCCAAATAAAAACGCATCTTAACAGCCCAACGTTTATAATTCTTTCCATCAAGGGGTTCTAACTTAGACATATCAAGAATTAGAAATTTGGAAGCCATATTCGTCTTTTAGATTGTTAGGCTTATATGCTATAAAAACAGTAAAAACTTATCTCAATGGGATGCAAACCACATTACAGTAGCCGCGTCGTGGATAATCATTGACCTAAAAGACGATTCCGCGCTACCTCTCGGTGCAGTAGACGTAAAGCGGTCGCCCTCCAAGATAAGCACAGCGCAAGAGTTTGTGTGCACTCACAAACCCTACTGGAACTTAGAACATTTGCACAGAAATCACAGAGTATTGTTTAAAAGTTTAGAGAGAAGAGAGTTTTTGTGATAGTGTATTATGGCTAGTGAAAACACGGTTATTTATAGGGAAGAAGCAGGCAACGGTTACCACAAGAAAGTGTCTAGGTTCATTCAGCAGCAACCATATACGTTACACCAAAACGGCAAGAAATGAATCTGCCAATTAATTAGCCGGAATCAAGGGCTAATTAAACTCTAACAGTCAAAATATGATTGAGAAAATACTGTTTCCAAAGTAAGAAAAAAGATAAAAAAAAAAGATGTAAATTTCTCCAAAAAGATAGAGGTCCACAGCCTACCCACGCCCGCGTATCACATTCCTTAAGACCCCGAGGCCTGAGCCCGCGTGTGTGGTATAGTCAATAACCCACTTACCACTTAGTTAACTAAGTAGGACTAAGGTCCCACAATATTTAAACGAGGGAGAGCACTCTTTTTCTTTCAATGTGGAACATTTACCTTACTTTTATACCACTCTTTTCTTTGTTTTTCATCAAGAATTTCCTACAAAGGTTTGGATAGCATTGAAGAATTGATGTGCATAATACTGTTTTGCATTTGGGGAATCTGGTTTATATGGTTAATTTCTGTAATTAAGGTTTTCAACTTTCCATTGTCACGAGGTTTTCTTTAAATGATACAAATTTTGACTAGTTTTTTCTCTTCCTATCAATCAGATTTCTCCCAAATTTCCATTAAATTTTGTGTAAGACTATGGAGTATTGGGGTAGATGATCTATGATTAAATATATAATTATTTTTCAATTGTATGCTATTAGAGTTGTTAGAGTACACTATTAAAGGTTTAAAGCCATTGTTGGGGAAACACGAGGTGTAACCTTCAATTCAAGGTGATAGGAGGTTGGAACATTTAAATTAAAAATCAGTTTTTTAAACACCCTTACTAAACCAGGAAATTTTGGTTATGTCAATTGAAAAACCTTTACAAGACGACCTAACTGAAACGATGCAGCCATATTTTTGTACCATAATATATGTAGTTCTTTCACTAAATTTAGATGCCCTTTTTATCCATTGCTGATACGGCATATAATCTCATTGCAACTTTCTATGATGATGATGATGATGTTTTCTCGTTGATGTTGTTATTTACTTCAATCTCTTAGGTTTTTGAAATTAAGAATGATGCTAAAATGAAGAGAACGATGCAAAGACCATTACCTTCTGGGCGTCTGACCGCATCACATGCAATTGCTTGGGCATCTACAGTTGGGATAGCAGGCACTAGTTTATTAGCGTGCAAGGTAGCAAAATGATGTTTCATACTTCCATTACTTTATGTTGTTCTGCTTTCTTTTTCTTGCTTACTGCTTTATGAGACCAAGTGACTAATATTGCTGATCCTGCAACAAGGTTTTTGCAGGCTAATGCCTTGGCAGCTGGACTAGCAGCCTCAAATCTTCTCCTGTATGCATTCATTTACACTCCAATGAAGCAATTACACCCAGTAAACACATGGGTTGGAGCAGTAGTTGGTGCTATTCCACCGCTTCTTGGGTAGGCTTTCTGTAACGCTCAAATGCTCTGTTTGTGTTGTAGATTGTCTAGTTAGCTCAGCTTATGCTTTCCTTTGTTTATCTTAAGGTTTTTTTTTTTATTGATTATTGGCTTAGTGCTTGAAATCTCTTACATTCTAGATATCAAGTAATTCTGGTTCATTTTCTGGGTTCAAGTCCAATTTCTAGTGGACCCTCTTTCTTTATGAAGTTCTTACAGATGGGTAACATTGAAGTTTCTCTGATGGTTGCAAATAAATGGTAGAAGAGATAGAACCTCTACTTTGATGTATCATGAGTTTGTTAATGCTTTATATTAGTTTTAAAGAGACTTATTCTCGGTTTTCTTGATAATTAGTGCGTGATGGTTTTGAATGTCAGTGATAAACAAAGTAAACAACAGTGTAGATCATTATATCCTGCTGCAGACTGAATCAGGAAGTGTGACCATACAGTTAACAGGCACAATGGTTTATTCTAAAATCAAAGGATCTTTTGAAGTGTTGAAAATAGGAAAAATTGAAAAGAATAATCCCACCTTTGGCACATCTTCTCAAAATAATCCCATCTTTGCGTATTCCAGAAATAATCCCACCTTTGTACCCCATATTCTCAAAATGAGCCTTTTTACCTTCAACCTATAAAACAGGTTAGATTTTTATTCTTATTTATATTTTTTATTTTTTTCCTTTAATCCCTCTTCTCTCACCTCACCCCCTCCATCCCTGTCAACCACCTCCACACAACCACCACACACCAACTCCCATGCAAACACCACCGCACAACCACTTGTTCCTGCTCCAGTGTCCATAACAACAACCACAACTCACAAGCCACAGCTATTCTGCAGCCCCCATACTCAACCTCAGAACTCCAACTCCCCTGCCCTGCCCTGCCTTCTCTTACCAACGCGCATCAATTGCGAGCTCAACCACCACCAAACGATTACCCCCAATCCTGCGAGCTTAGCCACCACTCAAAATCCTCTTTCTCTTTCTTCTCCTCCTTTGAAGCTCATCAAACCACCCACCTCCCCCACTCCTTCAATGGCAGAATTGGGGCTTCAATTAATCTGAAATTGGGCTGAATTGGGGCTGCAATTGCTGAATTGGCGAACCGAAAGTATGATGCGGTTGACCGGTTGTTGATGTTGTGCGCGGCAAAAGCGGCGCTGCTGGAGGTGTTGGTTTGCGGCAATGGTAGTCTGGTAGCTAGCTGGCTGCGCTTTTGTTGTTGTCGATTTGGGTGAATGGTTCAGGTGGGGAGTGACAGGGAAGGGAAGTTGATGTTTGGGGTTTTTTGTTTTTTTTTTTTTTTCCGGTGTGTGGGTGGCTGGATGTGGTGGTGGTGCTGCATTAGGCGGGAGGGAATCAAGGAAGGCGGCTGCAGTTGGGTCTGGTTGGCCGGCTTCTGGCTGTTCCGGCAGGCAGCTGATCTGACGAGGGAGGGGTGGCTCTTGTTGAGCAAGGAAGAAGAAGTTTTTTTTGTTTATTCCTTCAATTTTAAAAATAAAAAATAAAAATAACCAATTAGAAAACAACACGTGGCAAAATACCTTCAAAACCGGTTACCAATTTCACTAAGTAGTTAAAGACTCATTTTGAGAATATGGGGTATAAAGGTGGGATTATTTCTGGAATACGCAAAGGCGGGATTATATTTTTCAATTTTTCCTTGAAAATAAGCAAAAAATTAAGAATAGGTTTGGGTTAGGTAAAAAAAAAAAAAAGTAAATTAATTTGTCTTTTTATGTGTTTATTACTTGAGGAGTCACATGATTTATTTTTTCTGGCAGCTTCTCCTTCTCCTATATTCTTATTATTACTATTATTGTATTTCCTTGCAACTTTTTTTATTCACTGAAAAAGATTAATTATTTATTTTCATATTTTCTTAGCAAAATAATTTCTAAAATTTTTACAAATATAATTTATTATACATTAGCTGCCAAGTCCCTGTACCCATGTACAAATCTCGGACTGAATTTTGAGATTGACGTATCGGACACTCAGATCCGTATCTGTGTCTGATCCACCTTCCTGAGTCCATGTAACTAAGGTTATGAGAGTTGTTAGGATCACAAAAAGAGGGGGGGGGGGTTGAATTGATTCGAGGAATTCTTAGCTAATTTTTTCGAAATTAGTTAGTTAAGTGCAAGGGAATATTTTCATGATGATAATTTGACAATTTCCAAGGCCCAATAGGAAGTGAGAAACCGCAACCAACTCAAACTTTTCACCATATAGGCCAAATGACTCTGTTACAAGACTTACAACTATTTAAAACTTAGGTCAAAACTGACCCCTTCATGAACTTGAGTTCCAAAGCAATTGTGCCTCCCTTAAATTTTGATTGTGGAAATAAGGTGATAAAATATTAGTGGTCCATACGATATAAAAGAAGTGTGTCACTTAAAGAGGATAACTTATTTCTAGCTAGCCTTTGAATTGGTTTTTCTCATGAAAATTTGTTCTTCGCTGGCTTTCTTATTTCCCCAACCATAACTCTTTACTGGTAACTACAAATGAGAAGAAAAAAAAAAATTACCATTTGCAGTAGTCTTGTAAGCTAATCAATGATGTGATCCTCTAAAAAAAGGTGCCTTATTTTAACATGTAGAATGGGAAAAAACTTAAAATATAATAGTTATGGTTAGAAAAAACATACCATTTGTAGTAGCCTTATAATCTAATTGATCCTCTAAAAAGAGATGTCACGTTTTAACATGCGTGTAGAATGTGTCATCCAAGCAGAAGGAATAGGTGCTTCTACTAGGGGGCCAGGCCCAAACTGGCGTTTGTAGAAGATCTGCCATTGATCTGCATGTCTAAGATCTCCAAACTCGTGATTCATGAAGGCTTATCTCTGAACAGCTGCTTTTAGTAAAATCAATACAAATAATAAACTATAGATTATAAACCACTATTAATATTACTTGATGGAATTATTATTCCAATGGAGGGACTCTAACCTTCTTATCATTGCATTGTTATCTTGTTATTAATATGTGGGATCGACAGTTAAGATTGCAAGGTATCGATAGTTAAAGTTGCAAGGTATGGTGGGTCTGCCTAGCCATTGTTCTGGAGCACTTGCAAGTTTCCTGTGAATATTAGTTGACTTATGAAATAAGTAATTGGACATGTTAATTTCTGGTGCAAGTATAGCTAATTGACTTGCACCAACTTGTTATACAGTTTACTCTATGCCCCCCCCCCTCCCCCCTCTCCCGGCGCGCTGTAGCTATTAATCTGTATTTGAACTTGTTAGAAGTCCCAGGGATCAATAATTGATTAAGTTTTTATTTATCCAATGGTCTTCCACTCTGTATTAGTTTGTTTATATTGAAGTTGCACTTGGATATATTTACGAAGATTCCAGTGCTAAATAATTTGGATAAGACACTGCCGTTATTAGTTTTGAGATCATACTCTTGAAAATACTAGTGAAGATAGCGGTACTCTTGAGTCTTATTGTTATGACAGATAACATTTCTATACTATCATATCACACGTAGAAGTTTGCGTGCATATTGGAAATGTTTTGTTATTAAGCTGACATCAATTATTGGTGCTGCAGGTGGGCTGCTGCTGCTGGTGAAATTTCTCTTAATGGGATGATTCTCCCTGCTGCTCTGTATTTTTGGCAAATTCCCCATTTCATGGCCCTTGCATACTTGTGCCGTGACGATTATGCTGCTGGAGGGTATGCAACTTTTGAAATCTATGGACTTTAGTACTTTAAGCAGTTTCTGATATGTTTTATGTGAAGCTGTGTAAGTATTGGGATCCAAATCTGAAATTGACATCACAGTGGTGAGAAGAGGAGAGTAGATTGTACTTGTTGTTGCATAGAGTTTAACTAGATGTCTATCATACAGTTCACTCTTTAGGACCTAAGGGATAAAAACCACCAACAAGAGAAACTGCTACTGAGAGTCTGAGATGCATGTAGTAGTATACTTGGACTTTGATCACATTTTGACCTTGATATAAGCCTCCTACTTTCATAGACAGCTTTGCATCTTAAAAATTGCCTTCATGTTATTGTTACAAATCCTGATCAAATGAAATGATTATGTATGTACTTGCTAATATTGGCCTTTATAAAAAAGATATACACAAGTTACAGTTTTGGAGCTGTATGTTGTAATATCATATTGTCAATTGGAATGTCAGTGATAGTAGGCTGCATGTTAAATGAGATGTGGCACTAACACCTATGGCAAATTCATGTTAATGGTTCATGCCAAGAGATTATATTTACCAGACTAATATATCCTCAAAATGCTATTAGCTATGTTGTGGTATCATATTCTTAGAGTTTGTCTTTTTTACATACAGGTATAAGATGATTTCTCTTGCTGATGTCTCTGGTCGAAAAACTGCCTTGGTTGCGCTGAGGAACTGTCTATATCTGGTTCCTGTAGGTTACTTGGCATATCAATGTGAGTGACTCCACATGATTCATATACTAATTAGCAAAAATTACTTGGACATAAGACTACTTTCTATAGACTAGTATTATTTTCATTCTGCTCCTTTGGATTCGTTCTGATGTTTCATATGTCATCTTTGTTATTATAGGGGGATTAACCTCTGGATGGTTTTGTCTTGAGTCATCATTGTTTACTCTAGCGATTGGTGGCACTGCAATGTCTTTCTACTTAAACAGAACAACAAAGAATGCTAGGAGAATGTTCCTTGCCAGCCTTCTTTATCTTCCAGTATTTATGTCAGGGCTTATGTTTCACCGTCTATATAATAATTGGCAGAGCTGTTTGGTGGATGATTCAGCTACAGAAACTGTTCCATCATCAAGGTTTATGTCAGAGAGTGAGTCTGTTGACAATGAAAAGCAACTAAAAAATCCGGCTTCTGGTAAACTAGTCCGGCCACCTGTTGCTTATGCCTCTGTCGCACCATTCCCTTTCTTGCCTGCTCCATCTTACTCGCATTACTAGAAACTGAAGTTTTTATTGCATAATACAGAATACATCTTTTTTCCTTGTATATGTAGATCATTCTTGTTTCCTTTTCTGTTTACTTACAATGGATTCAGTTAAAGCTGAATCTGCAGTGGCTATTCTTATGACTTGGCGAGTGCCAGGTGAATTTTTGTCCATTTTTGTTTTCTTTGATGTAGCTCTCTGTTGGCTTGTAATTTTTATTCTCAATAAATGAGATTGTATTTTGATTGGTCACTTTTCATCATTTTAAAGAAGGCAGTAATATTTGGAAACTAAAGTGAACTCTGTTAAGACCTGCTAGTTTTCTACTCATAAACTACCAACACTTCGTATTTCAGTGTCTTCCTAGAAGTTTGGTATTCAACTCTCTCCCCCTGCCTTACCTTTTGGGGGGTGAAGCCTTAACGATGTAGCTGTCCCGAGATGGTGATTTCAAATTTTAATCATTTGGTATCTGGGTAGGCAGAACCGCTGAAGTCCCAGAATTCAAGTCCTTTAAAGAGATTATAATTATTATTTATTTATTATGCCATAGCTAGGGGAGCTTATGAGACAGGACGAGACAACTTATAAGCTACATGAGCTTAACTAGGTCAACACTCGTCACTCGGTTCTCTAAGCTCAATCTCGACAACAATCAATTCTCTACAACTTGCGAGCTACTTAGAACTCTGAGTTGATTAACATCAATTCAACCCAAACTCAAACTCGTATCATAAGCAAACCCAAACTCAAACTCGTATCATAAGCAACTGTTGTCATAGACGTTCCTGTTTCCCTGGCACAGTGGTATTGAAGCACATACAAGTGACAAGTTAAAACAATATATGCAGCTGATGAGGATTTATTATTATTTCAGGACATAAAACAATATATGCAGCTGATAAGGATTTATTAAATTTCAGGACATAAATAAAAATGGATAAAATCCAATGGCCCAAATCTACCAAAAAGGCTGCTGTTCTCATACACACAAGACATTTGCCATCATCACATTTCATCGGAAAAACAATTCCCCACACCTATTTTCTATATCTATGGCTTTACATCATAACCAATGTACACTAATTCACACTGTTTTGCATTTGTATAAGTTAATCCAGGGGTATAAGAATTTCCCGCACAACAGATAATCTCATAGAATCGCTCCTCTCCAACGATAGGCAGAAAGAGGCAAAAAAAGAAATGCCTCATGTGGAATATCAAGTCCAGATGTCACACTAAATTCCACATTCCACTTATCGAAGCTTGATGGTTTCATTTGGAAGTATAACATTTGGGTTTCGGATATGCGGATTAAGTGCAGCTAATTGTTTCCATTTGGCTCCACTGCCATGAAACTTAGCAGAAATACTCCATAAGGTATCTCCTGGTTGAGATGCAACTGTGGCTGGCAATGAAGATTTGGCAGCAATCTTAGGTTTCATAAATGAATTTTTCCCCTTCCCCATGCCATTTGCAAGCAACCAACGTGATCCTGATTGCTGTTGCGCACTACTGCCCCACAGCTTTTTCTTACCAGGCTCAGATTTTAAACCTGAAACATGCACCTCACTGATTTTGTACTGAGGAATAAAGTCCTGTTCCGGGATTTTCTCTTCAGGCTCCTGCTTCTTCTCTTCCTTGGTAACTGACTCAAGATCATCTTCATCACTGCTGTCTTTTGGTGCAGAAACTGTGCTGTATATCTTTGGCTTCGGAGGAACAAAAACCCTTTCCACTTGAATCAGAGCAAGCATTGGAGTGCCAACTGGCTCATAGTCTCTTAAGGGGTCACGAAGTTGGACCATCAAGGCAACAGTGAAATTGTTACCCAATAAGCCACACCTCCTTCCAGAACCTTTACCCTGCTTTTTATCTCCCTTCCTCCCAAACATGTTTAAATCTGTGCTTTTGGCATGGTGGGCAGCTAAAAGCTTTGAAGTCCTCTCACTTAGTCGCTCATCTTCGTCAATTTCACCAGAATCCAGCTTCATCCATTCATCCAACGTTAAAGATAAACTCATTAGCCCATCATCGCTATCAACCCCACTGTCCTCAAGGGCTAATAGCTTCAATCCTGCAGCTCCCTCCAAACCCATCGACGCAATGGAAGTTATACCTTTCCTTTCAACAGCTGAGACTTCCCCGATAGACTGAGCATGGATGTTTGAAGGTGCCTCCTCATCTGACATGCCAGACTGTATTCTCAAACCCTCAATTGATAGTGCTTCAATCTTATCCACTGCCAATGGTGCTAAATCTTCTAAAGATACAAATTCTGACTGTGCCTCATCAGAATACAAGCTTGCACTAGTTTTTTTAGATTTCCGGCCAGAAGAAGGTTGTTTAACTTGTTTATTTCCATCAGATACATGAAGGCCATCTCTTCGCTCATCTTGAAGCATATATTGGCTGGGTATGAGGGAGGCAGAGAAACAAGATAGTCAATTAAACAAAGCTAAATTGCAGATGAACAGACAGAGTCAAATAAAAAAACATATTTAAAAAAATAAAGACTCTAACCTTTCAGACACTTCCACATGAGGTGCAGCTTCCCAAGCTATTTGTTGCATTGTTCTTCCAGTGATATCTTCCAAAGGCATTAACTTACTGGCTTGCACAGATAGCTTTTCAAGTCCTATTGAAGCCAAATTCTGTAATATATCTATTACCCCAGACCCCAACTCAGCAGGAACCACAACAGGACTAGATACCTGCATGATTAGGCTGCCACCACTCTTGGCATTCGTAAAGTGGTTAGGGTTCATGGATCGCAAAAATCCTCCAGTCTCGGTTTGAACAAATGGACCTAAGCCTTCTCCAAGGGAAGGTAACTGTAAGGATTCTATAGGAGGGAGATCAATAGGACTGCCAAATCCACCTCTACTGTCTGGTGGAGAGCTCTGGAAAGCCATCTCGTCCAAGCCCCATTCTTGCATAAGTTCTTGTGTTTCCAAATCTTCCATAACTTTGGCCCTAATCTTGGGATATTCATGCTGATCTACTCTTAAGAAAGCAGAATCCTCAGAATACTCCTCCCACCCAGAAATAGTGGGAGCATAATAGTCATAATCTTCCATTTCCTCTTCATCAATATCAAAACCAAATAACGAACAACCACTAGCCTCTGCTTCCTTTTCGAATTCTCTCAAGAGACGCTCTCTTGGAGACTCAGGCTCTGTTTCAGAATCAAGGGCAAAGGAAGAATCTTCTATTCCAAGCATGCTTAGAAATTCATCAGCAACAGTGTCTGCAAGGTCATCCAAGCTAACTGAAGGCGTTACCATGTTTGGCTCATCCTCATTCTGGTTTTCCTGATCACTCGATTCACTTTTGGCCTCTGGGGTGTCTAATCCTTCTTTCTCAAGGTCAGCAACATTGCTCAAAACTGACTCCAGATCTTCTAGAAGTGATTCTTTGGTGCACATACTCTTTTTTGCGGAGTTGGAATCATTTGTTACATTTTCATCTCTTTTGAAGTCAGCTTCCATTTGACAAGATACTCCAGCATCGTTGTAGACTACAGAAAGATCAGAACTCATTACATCTTGATTATCAACAATTTTTGCCCCATCCTCCACATCTTGATTATCAACAACCTTTGCCCCATCCTCCACATCTTGATTATCAACAACCTTTGCCCCATCCTCAACCACATCTTGATTATCAACAACCTTTGCCCCATCCTCCACCACATCTTGATTATTAACAACCTTTGCCCCATCCTCTACCAATGTTGTCTTCTCCTCCAAATATTCCACCCCCTTCTCAACAAACGAAAACTCAGAATTCTCATCATTCAACATATTTTCCTGATTAGAACCTGATGGAGAGCAATGAGATGACTTTACAGGTTTGTCATCATCTGTAGGCACTTGAATTTCACGCTTATCCTCAACCAAGGAGTCTGAGTCTTCCTGATCAAACTTTTGATACAGCATGCTTACAGAGCTAGATAATTCAGACATTTTTGAAGATGGAACCTCATGGAGAACTTTTACATCATCCATAAAACGAGTTGTTGTAGATGACTTTAAATTTGAAGGAAGGCTTCCAGCACGCCTCATCGAGCTCTTCACATCACCTTGATTAGATTTTACATGATTCCTGGCAGTTGACTTTGAGTCCAAAAGTTGAAGCATATTCTTGTTATTATGAGCAGTACCATCCCCTAGCACCAAATATCCAAAACTAACATGCATGACAGCACCTTTTGCCTCACCTGATAGCTTAAAGCTTGTTGTCCATGTCCCGGAACTCTTCTCATCCTCCAACTCCTCCAATGTAAGCGGAAGCAGCCTTGTGAGATCAACACGATGCTTTCCTAAATCAAGCCTTGGATGCCCATAAACTGCCGCATAAATTAAAAAATGCTTTGCTTCATACTTGGCAGAATGGTGTGGACCACTCCTACTGCCATAAACTGAACAAGTATGAGTTAGTTTCTCCTCAAATCCAGCGGCTCCTTCGATAACCTTGATTGGGCTAGTGACTACTTCTCCATCCCTTCTCTTCCAGTGAACACAAATGTTAGTATCATTGAATTTAGAGGGCAACCCTTCAATTTTATGGACTTCAAGACTAAAGCAACAATTAAACCTTCGATTTCTGACATGGGAAAGAGCCTTCAAAGGTTTCCAATTCCAAATCGACTTCTTCTCCTTGGTTGAAGGGACATCACTGCCATGCTTTGATGTTGGATTGGGCACCAATACATTATTCTTATCAACTGTTCTAGGCAGACTTCTAGCTGCAGAAGAGGAGCTTTTTGACGGATTCCTGTCCAAATAGAGTGCCTTGCTAATACTTTCAATTTCATTTAACAACTTCCCCTTACTGGAATCGTCAGTTCTTTTATATCTAGCAGCATCTCGTGACGTCATGATCCTACTGGCATTGTAAAAAAAATAATCAAGTTAGATTCAAGTCTAACATGGCTATAGTTCAGATGCTAAGATGTTCCTGGCATGACAGAAAAACAATATAGTTCAGAATACCGATGGAAATAGTTGTGTTAATTAGCTTTCTTTGTTCCACAATACTCATCACTTCAGACTTCAGAATACCAGTGAAATAACTTTATTCAAATTTAAACAACCTTGTGGAACCAATATAGTTATACTTGTCAATTTAGAACACCATGCCTTATAGCCAACAAAATTTTAATCAGTGAATAAATTCTCCAGACAACTCCTTGATACTCACAATAAGCTTATTCTTTGTTTTTCCAATCTCTTCTACTCATTTATTTAGCACATTTAAAGTTAATGACAGATCAGCTGTCACAGATGAAGCTCATGTTAAAATGGCCACTGAGAAGAATATGTTTTTAATAATAATAAAAATTCCATAGAAAAACAGAATCAAAATCTTGAAATTTGGATGTGCAAAAATGTCATTTTCTTCATTTTTTTTTTCTTGAGAATAGGCAACCCTAAATTTATGGTATTTATTTACAATAGCCTTAAATGTAACACAACTATAAGTTTGCCCACATAATATGGTTCGGCATTGATGTGATTCTCTTTAAAAATGCACCATGTCCACAGTATTTCTTTAATATCTCTGTTAAGGCATTCACAAACTTATAATTCTAATACAATTAAGGTTACATCAGGAGATATCTTAGCCATTCAAGGTTCTTTTGGGAAAAAAACTTATGTTCAATGTTAGCTTGTATAAATTCCCTCTATTCTTTGAAAATGATAAGGAATAGAATAATAAGCATCTCAAAGATGTACTCCCTCGGTCCCTTAATGTTTGCCCCATTCTCCATTTTAGTTAACCCTTAAAGTTTTCCTAATACTACTTTGGTTGTAGGGGACCAAAATTTACTCTCACACCCAGTAAGGCCACTACATTCGGTCACACCACTTTTCTTTCTCATCAATTCATCCGAGCTAACAATTAAATAAGTAGGCATTGCTCCAATGGAAAAAACAAAAAGGGACGAAAGGAGTAGAAGAATATAGATATGTCTTATCCTCGACAACACCACCAAAGATCTTGCATGAAAGTGGAGAACTAAAAAGCACAAGTCTAGAACTAATAATATTATTAGCTTAACTACTTCAGCTTAAAAGCACCAGCTCAAATGTCCTGCTAAATTTTTTTACCTTTATTTGCTAATGGGCAACTGGTTACTTAGTTGCCTCTCTAAGTACTAATTCGATCAAAAGCATTTTCGCAATTATAAATGTAAAGCGGAGCTCATCTACTCCCCCATGCCTATAAAGAGGGCCTATCTTATAACACAGGGTTACTCATATGGTAACACTAATAATTACTAAAAATCTATGAACCCTCCTTCATTAAGTCTACCACATAATTGTCAACACTAAAGCTCCCAAAAGCGACAGCTAATTACTTCGATATAGACCTACTTCTTCAATCAACCAACATCATATCATATCATAATCATAAACACTCAGCTACCTAACAAGCTTAAGCTTTCATATTTAATTTGAAACCAACAAAACAAAGTAAAAGCCCCTTCTCCTCAACCAATTTAATTCTTCCAAAATTATTGCATATTAATATTAATTTAATAATTAATTTCAACCAAAATAGGTACCACGAAAATAATGAATTCTTCATTGTCAAATAATTTATTTGTTTTTAGCTCCCTGTAAATCAAACTTTACTGATAAACAGGTCACCTACCAAACAATCAATGGTGGACCCAGATTTTATTTTTTCATATTTAGCCCTAAAACAACCAATGTTTTGACAAAATTATTCAATAAACCCAATATTCCTATATTCATCCATATCTTGAATTAGCAACTAAAACTTTCCAATCACCAAATTCAAACCCAATTTTTAACATCCCAAATGAGCAAATAATCTCAAGTTTCAATCCAAAAAATTTCACAAACAATTAATCAGCATAAACATCAATGATTAAAAATCAACAACAAACATTTTTTTTTTTTTTTTGGAGATGGATTATAGAAATTACCTGAAGTTGAATGACGATGTTGCGAAGTTAAGATTAAAGTTCCTCCGCCATTATTAGATCTTGAGGAAGAAGAAAGAAGGAATTTTGGGTTGAGTTAGCGTTTGGGGGTTTTCAGACAAAGAAGAAGAAGGTATTTTTGTATTGAAAATGCGTCGAGAAAATGACAAGGAGGAGAGAGAAAATGGAGGAGCTTCTCTTTCAAAATTGAAATTGTTTTATGCTGACTCGTCTTTAACAAAGAAGCTGTCTGTTGAGTTGGTTTTAGGCTTTGTTCACTTGTTCTAAAATAAGATGCTTCTTAAATTTTTGGCCCGTTTGCCGTTAATAATCCCACCTTTAGATTATTATTTAATAATCTCACCTTTATAGGGTATCTTCTTCTAATGATCCCTAATCTGTTGGTAACCGGTTTTATAGGTTACAGTGTCATGTGTCGTTTTGTGATTGGTTGTAAAATTTTTTTAAAAAAACTAAATAAATATTCAAAGTGTAAAAAAAAAAAAAAAAAAAAAAACCCAAACCCCCACGCCACCCCATCCCCACCTCCCATTCACTCTCCGGCTTCCCCCATCACCACCACCGTAGAACCTCCCTCTCCATACCCACCCAACGAACCGCCTCCCCTTCACCTAAAACCACCACGACTACCGCCCTCCTTCCCCTAAAATTAAACTTATTTTGCGAGAGAGTCCATTTTACTTTGTTCTATAATTATTTATTCCCACCATATTTGATTTTTGGGTTTTAATCAAATCTTCCAATTTTTTCATCAAAATATCAAACAAATTTGATCAGTGTTCTTCGTCAATCAAATGGGTTCCAACTTCCAACCCAATCAAGGTTTCACCTTTAGATCTCATGAGGTGCTATTTTTAAGGGTAATTTCGAGCAATTAAACACGTCATTTGAAGACTCTTTTGCTGCTGCGATCATCGTTGAAAATCGTGAAATTGTCATGTTTGTTACAACCTCCATTGTTGTACTCACTGGTGTTGCTTTCGGCGCCTGGGAAGGGCATAAGGGTGTTTCTGGGATGGGGGGTGGGAATCGTGGTGGTTTAATTTTAAGGGAAGGGTTAAGGAGGAATGGTTGCCGGAAGCGTGGATGAGGGGGCGTTTGGGGTGGCTGTTTTTTATTAAAAAAAAAATTTAAGTTTATCTTTATCTTTTTCTTTTTTGACCATTTATGTATTGACACGTGTCACTAAAATCACAAAAAAAAAAATGTACAGGTTACCGGTCACAAGAGACCAATATAAGAGAATGACATATAAAGGTAGGATTATTAAATAATAATCTAAAGATGGGATTACTAACAGCGAACCGGCCAAAGATGGGAATATTAGAATCAATTTTTCCAATTTTAAATTATTTCTTCCGTTTATGAATGTTATTGATAATAACAATACTTGTAACTTTAGGTGTTACAAATTGAACCGAATCAATTAGAACCGATCGATTTGATTCAATCTGAAAGTAACTCGATTCTGATTTTGACTTGTATATGTATAAATGATTTAGCACAACTCAATCTTGAAATAGACCTGACACAACCGAACCCGACTTAGTCACCTAAATTGACACATATAATTGTTTTTGTACGTTTTTGAATACTTACAAGAGTTACAACACGACACAGCTATCATTTTATCGTGTCTCACTCCAACTAAGTCCGCTTGCATAATTTCTTTTTTTTTTTTTTTGTTATTTAGAGAGCCATAAGGAAGGGGGTGAGAATCGATTCCAGGATCTCTTGGTATCGAAAGGGAAGCTCTAACCACTTGAGCTACCCTTCACTCTCATAATTTCTTTTTATGACGCTTACTTGCACTAATTCTGTGTTGTTTCTTTCTTTCACAAACCATCAAAAATACCCCCATTAACTCCATGTACACATTACTTTCATTACTTTATTTTTTTTATACTTTTATGTTTGTTCTATTTGAAATAATTCATTTAAAGAGATAAAAGTTTCTCCATACCATTTCATTGATATAGACATGAAAGAACATTTTTGTATGTAGGTTTTGTTAGAATCCATGTCAATTTGTAGCTCCAAATAATCCATTTAAAATTTTTAACTACTCCTGATTTTTTTTAATTGCAACTTTTGCTATTTTAGTCCGATTTTAATTAAATGCAACTTTTTATTTTATTTCTATTTTGGGTAAACAAAAACCCTTAAAATTACTACTTTACCCACTACTTTACCAAGTGGTGGGCTAAACTTTCTCTCTTTACACACTACTTTAAACTATTTTACCCACTACTTTACCACTACTTTATCAAGTGGTGGGCCAAACTTTCTCTCTCTACACACTTTAATCAACTTCAATTAACCCCACTTTCACATACCCCTTAACTTTTGCATCGTGAATCGCGTAAGGCCCCAAAGTTGCATTTAAAAAAAATCGGAGGGAGTATATATTTTTTCATATGTTGTTGCTAACAATGTGCATTTAAAATTGTGAAAGGTTAAATGAAACAAACATAAAAGTGAATGTAGTAAAGGTATCACATAAATGCGAGTAATATATTTTCTTAATTAACACTATCTACTAATGTCTACTTTAAATAATTAAATGATCTTGCTAACGAGCGCCTTCGGGCATTAAAAATAGTTTAAAATAATTTCAGATTTATTATTAATTTGAAAATACATGTTAAAAATCATGTGTCGATCAGTGTAATTGAAATTATTTCAATTTAATATCACTACTTCTATTCATCTTATCCCACGCTCCCAGGCATTTGTCAGCTTTTGCCAATTAGAATAACTAATTAAGAAAGTGAGACTTGATTATATAGTAAGCTAACTAGTAATTATTACTTCGTATTAGGGTACAAAGGAGTTACAACAAGGATTAGATTGAAATCTTATATGGCATGAAAAAATGGACAATAATCTAATTAGTTTGTTATTGAAGTTGCTCTTTTACAAGAGTATGTATGGTGTAATTAAGATATTAAGGGCATGTGCAATAATTAAGACAATAATAAATTATTAATTCATAAGTAGGTGTTTCGTGTGCATGAACGCATAATACTTGTATTTCTTAATGTATAATGAACCTTTTGGCATTTTGCAAAATAAATGTAACGAGCACAAAACAATTCAAAGAGTAGAAGGTAAATAAATGAGAATAATGTGACTCTTGCTGTTATTGAATCAACATAATGGTTCTAACTTCTAGCCAAGTTTTCCAGAGTATAATTTAATGCAGTCACGCAAAGCAGCACGGGGGCAATTCAGTCAGTCCTCTATTTATGAACAATTCCATTCTGCATATCTTTGTTTTTGGAGAAGTTATATTGATAAATAGATTTGATAAAATTGACTCGTATCAACCCCTCTTTTAGTTTTACAATAATTTGACTAGGTACATATGTCAACGCATAAATTTAAGTGTTTGACTATTGATATATGACAATATTAAAATACAAAGCATATATTAGTAAAAAAATTAGGAAAAATAGAATCTAATAATTAGAGATCTTTGATAGACCATGTAAAAAAATTCCTAATATTAGTTGGTGGAAGATCCATGTAAAAGGTGGGATTGTTTCTGGAATTTCAAAAGGTGGGATTGTTTATGGAAGACGCATTAAAGGTGGGATTATTAGATTCCATTTTTCCAAAAAAATATTGAAGTTGATATGTTGCGAATATATAATATCATAATATCAACACTTGAGTTTTATATATTATTATAATATAAATATACAGTCAAAATTAATATACTTCTTCTGTTCTTTATATTCTAATTTTTTTTTAATAGTCTTTATATTCTACTTAGTTGACTTTTTTTTTTTTTTTTAATTTATATTTATTTTGAGGAATTCTACTTAGTTGACTATAGATACTCAATTTGGGGGGGGGGGGGGGGAAGAAAAAAAACTGAGCATATACTTAGTTTACGAAGTATATACTTCGTATTTATTTGTAGGCCTAAGTGTTGACATATATAGTTACAACAAAAAAATTGCTAATATTGTTCAACCAAGGTTCAAATTAACAGGTTAAAAAAAAAAAAAAAAGGGTTCAAATTAACAAATACATCACTTGCATACAATAAGATAGCCAGATAGGTGTCACTATACAAGAACTATAAACCTAATGAAGTACTACTTAAGAAAAGGTAATTTTGAGGGAAGGGGATTAAAGTAGATTTGTTCAATAAAGAATTGGCCCTATTAAAAATCCAAGACCAAAACTCCAAGACCAAATTAAAAATCCAGGAATTCAGGGAATACATGTTTATCATGTGTAGGGATGGCAATGGATCGGAGGTGGGTCGGATAATGCTTCATTCGCCTCCATCCACTAACGATCTATTCGTCATCCATCCATCCATCCACCTAATTTACCTTCATCCATATCCAATCCATCCATCAAACATGGATGAATCGGGTGGATCAGGTGATAGTTCGGGTGAAATAAAAATATATGTAAATACAATTTTGCACTTCCATAATTAAGATGAAGATTTGAAAAAAGTGATTAATTAATTCAAACTTTAATACATCTTTTTAATACTTGCTCATTTTTACTAACTTAAAAGCACATGTTACTTCCTAAACCTTGCAAATGGACATTATATTATTAAAAAAGATATTTATTTTAATTTATATATAAATTTAACGGGTGGATGGATGGGTCGGGTGATGGATCGGGTGATGGGTTGGATGTATCATCACCGGAATCCGACCCGATCTATCACCCGACTCATCCATCATCCATCCATCATCCGCTTAAATTCGGATTTTCATCCATATATTTGGATCGGGTGGATGGTTATCTATCGGGTTTGGATGATATTGCCACCCCTAATCATGTGTCCTTATTACATAGACATAGTAATTTTATTTTAAATTTAAAGCTAATCGGAACAAATACCATACACAATCATCAAGTTTGTGAGCTCCCTTTATTAGTTTATTAGTGGGTAAGGTTTAATAATACTCATATTTCTATATCTTCTTAGTAACAAAGACTGTGGCTAACGTTCGCTTTGTAATGGTTGTTTTCAGAAGAAGGCTATTGTAGAATGTTTCAGCATTGTAGGCAAATAAAGTCAACGACATTAATCGAGAAAACTCTACAAGCTAAGGGCCTCCATTCAACACCTCTAGAAAGGTCGTATACTCAATACAATGAAACAGCAAAGTACACTCCAAAGCAAATATTTTCATACAAGCACGGAGACGCAAAATAGATTT